AAGAGAAAGCTGGGAAGAGGAAAAGAGAGGTGAGAGAGAGGATACTGGAAAGATAGAGAGAAGAGTGAAAGAAAAAGTGGGCAAAAAAGAAAGGGAGTAAGATAAATATGAAGGGCAGAAGAGAGATAATAAGAGGTAGAGTGAGATATATGTAAAGTTTTGAGAAGCATGCATGCGTGAATAATAAGTATGATAGGAAGGATTAGTGCATGCATAAATTATAATAATAAGATAGAAAAAATTTATTATAAATATTTTTTTTATTTTATATTATAATAATAATTATTTTTTTATTATCATTTACATGTTTTTGGTCGAGACGCAGCATAATGATGAATAGAACGTCCCTCTTTGGTAAAATCGAGGTTCTTGACGTGATCGCTCATTCAGTTTCATCATCCAGAGTCGTTCTGGTGACCTTCTGATGATCGAGTAAAAAATGCATCAAATTTAATTTTCGTTAAGTTTTGGTTCACGATCGAGCGTTTTGAAAATTGATCATAGTGAGGAAATTTGAAATCAATTGGGGGCAAAATTAAGATTTTTGGACAAAATTAAGATTTTGGTCAAAATGAGTTTATTTGATCAAGTTGGACCGAATGGATGGTCAAGAATTGTGGTTAGGGATGCTTGAAATGATGTTGGAGGATTTGGAAATTTTTTTAGCCATAAGTGGCATTTTTTGTAATTTTGACCAACTTTGGTCAAAGTGGTCAAAAGGTTGATTTAAAGGCTCTAGGTGGTTCAGGAAGAAATTTGGAGTCAAACGACAATGTTCGGGGTCATTTTCGATCAATGTGGAAAGTTTAATGTTCCCCGAAGCATTTTTTTTTAAGTATTCGTTATTTTGGTGTTGATGTGCCAAAAAGTTGTCCGAAACTATGGCAAAATTCTCAGGAAGACATAAGAAATGATTTGGTGTGAATTTTAGGACTTATTAGTGACTCTAGGAAATTTTGGGAAATTAAGTATTTTGGGGGTCCAGGGTATGGGTGTAAACGAGTCGAACACGAGCTGAGCCGGCTCAGCTCTTGTTCGGCTCGTTTATATTTCAAGCTCAAAATGTGTGTTCGTGTTCGACTCGTTTGCTTAACGAGCCGAACACAAAGAGTCGTTTTGACAACCCTAATCACGTAGCCATAAAATGTTAAGGATTGAGTCAACATTTAAAACATCATTTGAATCTAATTTAATATTTTTTATTCTATTTTCTTCATTAATACTTTTATTTGATTACAAATCTTTGTAGCCTTGTAGTCAATTAAATTTTTTAAAAATACTACTCAGCAAAGATATATATATATATAATTGATTAATAGTATTTCAAGCCAAAACGAGTCGAACACAAACGAACAAATATTTGTTCGTGTTGTTCGTGTTCGGCTCGTTAACTTAGCAAACGAGCCAAACACAAGTTTCTTAACAAACCAAACATGAGCTGTTCGCGAACAACGAGCAGTTTTGACAGCCCTAGTCCAGTAGTATTTTGGTAATTTTTGGGAAAATTAGGTATTTTGTAATTTTTGGGAAAATTGGGTAAATTTTATTTTCTTGTTATATTGGGATATCAAATATAATATACCTGACTCACTTGTCTTGCCTGAATTAAAAGATCAAATTTAGCATATCTTCTATTCACTTAACTTCTATGATATCATATGGTTGGCTTACCTTCTTTCATGATTAAGAATATAGTCAAGCCAATCATAGTTGAACATGAATATGCTTCTTATGGAGCCAGGATACTTTAAACAAAAACCTCTTTGAGAATCCTATAATAATCTATTTCATCATCTGATTTATTACTTGCTTTAACATGAACACCAAAATTACTAGTTTTTTTTTTCTTTTGACTAGGATATTGTATGAAATTTATAGTCATTCACATCATAAATTTACCAAATTCTTATGATGCGATTAGTCTTCAATTAAGTTCTATTAAGCCCTAATATGTTACTCCATTGTTCCAATTATGAATCAATGAATTCATAAACAATTATGTTTTTATTATTTTATTTTAAAATATCTAAAAATAAAAGTGTGACATGTGTAAAACTTATCTGCCTTATAAACCATTGGGAGAAATTTTATCTCTATCTATTGACTTATAATATCTTCTTCATATGAATTTAAAAATTAAATAAATAAGTTGTTCAAACAAGAGAAATATATGAATTAAACAATAATTTTATCTGAATAGAAAGGGTGAAGAACTACAAATAAAAAAAATTATCTTTAATATAGGATTGAACTTTGTCACAATTGAAAAGAACATAAAAAGTTACTGCTCAAATTTCGAAATACTGAGATAACATGATGTACATCTCTCTGATGCTTCACTTAACTACTGAAAAATAGAAAGTGTTTAGGGAGACACCACACCTAGTTTTGGTTCTTTAGTGGGTTCTTTTTGCCCAAAATAGTAAGAGTAAAATGTTATAGTCTCCAGCAATAAATATAACTCACATATTAAGCCTTTGGTTTGAGTTTTACTCTTCGAAGTTTTCTTTAGTTTATTTTAAAATCTATGAATAAATTGTTATATAACATAATTTATTAGTTTTTTTGAATAAGTAACAACATAATGTATGAGTTAATATCTCTCAAAATAGATACATCTAGTGATACTATTCCGAACCGCTAATTATTGCCTTATATAGTAGATGTATCGATAGATGCTCCATATGGTTGAAAAACTAGATGAAAATATTATTTTAAGCTTGCACATTATTATTGGAATATTTAATTCTAAATATCGTGTCATTATGTATTAAATGAGCTGCACATAAATCCACTCATAAAACCAAACTAAACCAAGTAAGACTAGTTTGACCCCAATCAAACTAAGTCAACCTGGGTCAATTCTTTTAAAATTTGTTTGATTTAAACAAGTTTGAGGATAATCAAAGGAAAAAAAATAGCCTAACTTAGGTTAACTCGGAATACCTAGAGACTCATCTTAGATCAATTCAACCCAACTTGAACTAATCTAAAATCAAGTTTGACCTGGGTGACTGAAAGTTAACGAGTGTTTGACTTCTGTTTTTGTACAAGAAAAAAAACACACTTAGGCTCAGCCAGGGATAATTGGGGCCAAGGTGCAAACCAACTAAAATGAAACGACGTGAAGTTCACCCTAAAAGCCACTAAAACTTAAACCTGAACCCAAAACTATAACCTGGTTTGAGAAGGTATTTTGGAGGAGGCAACCCATGGTTGCTAACAAAATATCTTTCAATCACTTGTGACTAATCAGACCCCGAGACGACGGAACCATGGGATCTTGACAAGGTCATTCCGAATAACAACAATAAAACACAAAATGACAAAAAAAAAAAAAAAAAATCTAATCGACTAGGAAGTCTTAAGAAACCTAAAATTTTCAACCCCTAAAATTCGAAAAAGACATTGAAACGTAAATGAAACCCTAATGAATAAAGACCACCCAACACAACTTGAACCAATGCCACCAAGGTTTACGAAGATCTCTTGGAAGACGAAACTCATGGTTGCTGACATTAATCTTCCAATCAGAGTAGGTTTGATTATCTCTTAGAATAACTAGATCACAGAACCTGACAGCCATGAGATGATTGAAAGCCGTTGGAGTCTTAACCGGGTTCTCTAAAATAAATATAAAAACTAACCAATTAAATCAAAACATATTTTGTGCTAACTTGTTTTGCAGGGTTGTTGAAGACAAAAGGCGGATACCACCCTAGATGTACTTTACATGTTATTAGCGCGTGCTAATTCTGTTTTGCCGGGATGGACCTTCAAAACCCAGAGAGAAAGGATAAACCTCAACTAAACTATTGACAATAAAACAAAACTCTAGGCAAACTCGAAATCTTTAGGAATCCACTGCCCTTAGGATAGGATTTTGAAATTTCTTTTCTTAAAAACGACATTTAAATTTTCTGAGGACGAGTCACAACCTTAATCAAGGGTTCTCTTAAACAGTCCCCAGAAAACTTAAGATGTAATTAACTATAAGGGCATGCTTTTATAGGAATAAACGAACCAAAAACCTAAATCTCTAGTTGTAGGTTTGCTTTCGTTAGGTTTTCTTCACGGGTATACCTACAAGGTGTCTTAAACCTGTACACTTTAGAACTATCTACGCAAAGTCCACTTCACAAAAGCTTCCCCATGTATTTCTTTTGTTTGTCCTTACCATTATATGTTTTAGTCCTCCGATATTTTCTCTCTTCAGAACAACCACATGATCAGAGAGAGAGTTATTCAGAGAAGGAGCTATATGACGGGAGACAAGCTGTCGACTCTACGACAAAGACACGATGACGACAGAACGACGACGACATCACATTCTAGCGGCAACAAGAATGCGACCACAACCAAGAGCATGCAATTAGCAAAGAGGAGTAGAAGAGCATGCAATTAGCAACTAGGAGTAGACAACTGACAATGAAAGGCAAATGATCGATGGCAGTCGATAGAAGCAATGGGTGGGCGGGGAGCTAATGGCGATGGCAAGCTGATGGTTGTCGACAATAATTGACAGTGACAATTATGGGTGGCGATGAGTTGCTCTTAACGTGCAAGCAACGACAAACTAGTTATCAACAAGTTGTGATGAGTAGTAATTTATAGCCAACTTCAATGACAACAAAAAGCAACGACACATTTAAAGTCCTTAAAATTATGCATTTAGAATCCACCCAATTCCAACGATTTCCATATGCATTGCATTTAAAATTCTTTCAACCAAATGCACAAATTTTTAAAATCTCTGTAATATTTTTAAAATTCTTTCAACCAAGTGCAAGCAACAATTTTTTAAAATTTCATTTTAGATGTTTCTAAAGACAGCCAACTATATTATAACAGAATAAACATGTTTCATTCCAAGTAAAAATATAAATTAAATAAAACAAAAAAAAAATCAAAATAAAAAATGATTGCAAACGGCAACTTGGCAACTTATATAAAACCACCATTTACTAATAAAATGATGCAGCTCCTATCAAAACAAGGTCTAACTTGGAATAGCTTTACATAATGTTTCAATATAATATCATACAATATAATATCATAGAAGAGGCAATGTTCAGAATTTAAATCAATTGTCTAAGACTCATAACGCAATCTCACAGGATAAAATGCAAGCTTCACATAATGTCACCATACAGGCACACTGATAAAAGTTCCATCCTCCACAGGCCATGAAAAGGAACGACTTTTAAAGTAAAGTGCAGAATCTACAAGGCTGCTTTCGATACAAAGCTAGACTCCAACGACCAATATGCTGGGTACGCCCAACAAGAATTTGGATGCATTCAACTTTTCTTCAGAACAGCTACCAAATTCCAGGACATCGGTTGAGCTCAAAACACAGCCTAGGGACACAGGCTCTCCATCGGCCAAATTCAAGATCTGATACTGATTCCAATTTTTTCAATAACATCAAAACGATGAGGGGAAAAGTTGAAGTGCTCACAAATCAGCTCAGCATATGGGAAAACATTGTGCGGTCATGCTGCAGACAACTCCTTCGGATATGATGAATGCCAACTTGAGAAGATTTTCATGGAAACGTATCTTCAGCAAAAGATGTGTTTCAAGGCTATTTCTTAGATTTGTTCTCCCATGTTCTCAACCATGCTTTCTTTCCCACTTCCCCTCACGCCTCCCTTCCCTCTCTCTCCTTTCCATGATTTGCCTTGACTTGCTGCCTCGTCTTGATGTCGAACTAAATCCACCGGCCAACCCGTCAATAGCTAGAGATAATTCAGGATCACCAATGCTATTTGCATCACCTGAATCCCTACTTCCCTCGAGATTGTCTTCAAAAGTAGCATTGCTGCGTTCGACGGGTCTGTCCCTCGGCTGCAATATAGTTGGAGGCTGATTTGAGAAGGACCTTGAACCAGAGAGAACCATTGATGGTGTGGATGATGCGTTGAAGGAGGAACCAGCTGTTTGTACTGAGCTAACGGTTTCATGTCCTCTGCTAGCAGGTCTTAGACCCTCAAGTCCTGACCTCACATTGTCACGTTCCCGAAATTTTTCCCTCGGCCGACTGTAAAATAGAGATTTATACATGAGACCAAAATAAATAGGAAAGATATTAATGACAGAATTTATAAAGAGACACAAAGAACTCTAAAACAATTGAATTAAAGCAAAATGGAATTCTTTACTAGAAGTAATTTAGATTTTTGGTGCTGTTCGCATCAACGTAGAGAAAAATCTACGCTTCAGAAAATCCAAATATGACACCAATAGAACATTCGATGTGCTGCGTAAGTTAAGATCCAAGTAAATCATAGAAAATTTGGAAGATAAATTAGATGCTGGAATGAACCTCAAAATTACAGGCATGTAAAACAAACAGGCCTTTTTTTAAACCTGATGTTATTTAAAGAACCATTTTGACTGAAATCTCATCAAATAGTTGTAAAATCAATTGTGCAAATTCCAGTTAGTTATTTTGTTGGATGACAGAATTCATGAAGGAAAAATGTCAAACATGAGAAATATGTAGTGATTTGTCATATCTCAAATACCTAAACAAGCTCAATGATTTCAAACAAACCCATATTGCATTATGTAAGTTGTCTAACAAATAAGGGAATGTATTATTCGGCTAAAAAAGAAAAATCAAACTAAAGCAAAATTTTTGGACTATCTTGTTTGGGTTTGAAATTAGCGTCAAAATGTTAGGTTTTCATCAGTGAAGTATTTGGTTTTAGATATTTAGATCAGTTTGTGAATCAAAATTTTGGAAAAAACCAAAAGATTGACTTAATAGTGATAAATTACAGCTCATTTTGCAGTTCACATTTTTTATTTCGTTTCATCTTCTTAATTGGAACATCCACGTAAGTTACTGTAGTTTTTAGAAGGAAAATATAATTATTCTTTTCAATTTCATAAGATATGTTTACAAAAGAAATGGCAAAGGAAGATCACATAGTTAAGAAAACCTCAAAACTCCAATGCTAAAATAAGAAACAAAAATGAGAAATTATCAACAGTAGAAAATTATAAAAATAGAAAATACCTAAAATAGAAAAACATTAAAATAAAAACTTCCTAAATGTTTGACACCTCATCATGTTGAAGCATATATATTTATCATACCCAGCTTGCTTAGAAAGTGCTTAAAACTATGCCTAAAGAGTCTCCTGGTGAATATATTTGCTATTTGTTACACAGGATAAAAGATATGCAAATAGCACCAAAATCAATTTTTTTTTATGAATTATCCGTTAATCTCCACATGCTTTGTGTGATTAGGTTGCACCGGATTTGCTTCTTAGCCCAACTTGCTTACAAAGTGCACAAAATCAATTTTTTATTATGAATTATCCGTTAATCTCCACATGCTTTGTGTGAGCAGGTTGCACCGGATTTGCTTCTTAGCCCAACTTTCTTACAAACTGCTCAAAACTATGCCTAAAGAGTCTTCTGTTGAAGGTATCCGCTATTTGTTACATAGGATAAAAGATATGCAAATAGCTCCAAAATCAATTTTCATATTTATGAAGTATCTATTAATCTCCACATGCTTTGTGCGATCATGTTGCACTGGATTTGCTTTTTATGGAAGCCTTATTTTCATAATACAACACCATTGACATCTTTATCGAGATCCTTAGCATTTCAAGAATTCTCTTCGACCATAACATCTGACACATACCATTAGCTACATCTTTATGCTCGATCTCGACACTACTGCTCGCAATCACATTTATTTTTTCACCATGTAATTAAAATTTTTCACATAAGTATGGTATCCAGACAAAGATTTCTCGTCAATACTGAGCTCACTCAATTTGCATCAGTATATGCATCTATGTTTTGTTGTGATCTTCTGAAAGAGTATGCCCTTGCTTGGTGCAATTTTTATGTATCTGAGAATCTTATTAACGGCTTCAAAATGTTTCTCATAGGTTGAATGCATAAATTTACTTACCATACTCACAGTTAAGATAATATCTAGCCATGTAAAAGTATATCAACTGTCACAGAAAATTTTGATATATGAACTGTATTTACTGTATCACGTTCCTTCCCATCACCTAATTTATGATTGAGATCAATTTAAGTGTCTGCTAGCCTAGACCAACTCATCCCAATTTACTTGAGTCTTCCATTGGAAAACAACAATCCCTTTCTTTGATTGAGCAACATCTATGTTAAGAAAATATCTCAGAGAACCTAAATTCTCAGCACAGAAAAACTAATGAGAGGGAAGTCTTCAAACTGATCACCTCATATACACATCACAGATGAGAACTATATCATCCACATACACAATCCATATTACTATCCTTCCATACAACCTTCTTGTCCTTGAGTATACCCCTGGCATTTAACAAACAAAGTAAATTTTTCAAACCATGCTCTCGGTGACTACTTCAACCCGTAGAAAGACTTTTTTAGTTTGCACACCTTTGTACCAAAAGTTTCACTAAATCCTAAAGGTGCGTCAATGTACATTTCTTCCTCCAAGTCCCCATTGAGAAATTCATTTATTATATCTAACTTTTGTAGGGGCCAATCAAAAATGGCTGTAGGTGATAGAAAAACACTATAAGGTTTTGTTTTGTGGCTGAGGCGAATGTCTTTAAGTAATCAATACCATATATCTGAGAGAGCCCATTGGCAACTAGTTGAGTTTTGCACCATTTTAGAGAGCGATAAAAATTATACTTTATTTTAAACACCAATTTGCACCCTACAATTGTCTTTCCTGTAGATAAATCAACAAATTATGACGTGCCATATTTTCGAGAGGTTTCAACTCCTCAAAGACAACATCCTTCTACTTAAAAAACTTTTAGAGCATCCTACACGGCATTAGGAATCTTCATACAAAATAACTGTGAGGTAAAAGTACAAAAAATGAGTGAGAAGTTTTCCTATGACATATAATAGGACAATGGATATTGGGTGCAAACCTCACTCCCATACAAACGAAAATGAGAAGACTAAAATCATTAAACCTGAAATTAGAACTAGCCAGGTTCAGGACTAGAAGACTCATAAATCAAAGAATGAAGTGGATTGAAAAGGGGGTGAAAGCTCAAAGAGGGTATTGCATTAATGGTTCATGAATTCTGGGTAGTGCAATTTCTTTTGACTTTTCCTCTGGCGTGAGTAGACAATATCAAATGGTACCAATATCGTAGTTTTTTTCTATTTCTTCTTTATTAGTTATAGAATTATGAATATCATGAGATGACACTATACGAAAGCCAAAATCGTCTTCATTATCTAAAAGTCTCAACCCATTTTCTCCATATATAATATAGATCAAGATGAAAAATCAAGATTGAGGAAGTATTATTTTGTGCATCGTCGGTTTGAAAAAATATCCTGAAAAATAGTAGTCAAATCTTTGTTTTATACCCTTTAAAGATAATGCGTTAAAAAAGCTATAATTCAAAAAATATGATAGCCATGGTAACATGGTATTTTAAAAATAGGATTAAAACATCTATAACCCATTTAAGTGAGATCATAATCTACAAACATATGTTTTTACTTGGGGTTTAAGTTTTTTCTTAATTATGATTATAGAAGTGAACAAATACAATACACTCAAATATCTTTAAATGTAAAGAAGACGAGAGTCAATTTGTTGATTAATCTTACAAAAATTAAAACGAGTTTCAAAATTGAGAATCTTATTGAGTGCTCTATTTATAAGAAATGTAGCAGAAAAAACAACTTCACAATAAGGATATTTTGACACATGATTGGTAAACAACACTGTCCAAGCTACTTCCAATAAGTGTTTGTTCTTTCTTTTGGCCACAACAATTTGTTGTGAAGTATCGACACAAGAGATTTGATGAGTTATTTCTTTTTCAAAAATAATTGACCCAAAATATTTTTGAAATATACTTGGTAATTATAACTTTGTAATATTTCAATATTTTTTCCAAAATTATGTTCGTATCATGGTGTAAATGTTTTAAGAATTATTTCTACCTCAAATTTTTCTTTCATTAAATAAACTCAACTTAATCTTGTGTGATCATCTGTAAATGTTCCAAATGTCTCTATGAATCAAAGTAAACTATGCAATTGGTTTGTGATTTATGGAGAAAAAGAAGCACGATGATGTTCTGTAAATTGATAAACTTTATATTGAAAAGAACAAATTTTTATTCTAAAATTAACCGAGAAACAAGTATTTTAAATACTGAAAAATTAGAATTGCCTAAACTATAATGCCATTAAATAATATCAGTCATTGGAAACAAAAATATAATTAAAATAGTACTTTGATATTTTCTATTTCAGCCAAGTCCATCTTTAAAATAACATTCCATCTTTTTAATTAATAATGTCAATCATCCTCCTAGTGATCAACCGTAAAGCTGACAACAAGAGGGGTAGAAATTTGTTTTATACCGACGGTCACAGATAATTTTACTAATGAACAAGTTACAAGACAAATTGAGACATGGAGGACAACGTAAAGAGTTGACTACGGAGTAAGTCGAACATTTCCTATCTTAACAACTAGCGAGAAGGAGCCATCAACAATTTTGCACTTCATTATCTGCACAAGATTTATAGATGAGAACAAATTAGAGCAATGAGTTATAGATAAGTTGCAACAGAACCAACTATCCAACAATAAACAAAATTAGGAATAATACCTAGCACCGTAACTAGAGAGTTAACCTTCCATACTAAATAACAAAACAAAGTCCGGTCAATTTTGGAGATAGAAGCAATTCTTACAGGTGCTCTAATTGTTTCTTGGTAAAAGGGATTGCATCCAAGTTTGGATAAGGCTCCTTAGCTTCTTCAGTAGTGGCTTGATAAACTCGACATTTTTGTTTGAATATTGATTTTCAATTTACAAGTTTATCGTGAAGCTTCCAACTTGTCTCCTTTGTATGTCATGATTTCTTTGCAAACCACACACCAAGATTTCTTTTGCCCTTTTTTATCAATAAAAACTTCTCTCATAGAGGACAGTGGTTTCCTTTAGAGAATGTGACCTTGGAATTCGTCTCTGATTAAGGTCAGCTAAAAATATGTAGACCCAATCATTTTTCACTCTTCTTATGATGAGCATACTCATTAGAATTCTTCTAAACTTTATCATAACATTGATCAAGCTCTAGCCATATTGCTACTAACTCATTATAAAAGGTAGTAAAATTACAGTTATTATGCTTGGATTTCCAAGTTCAAGCTCTCAATTAAAAATTTGGGAAGATTTCTTTGTGTCTAAATAAAGATCTCGAACGGCCTCAAAAATATCTTGAGCAGTAGGAAGAAATATGTGAGGTATTTTGAAGTTTTGATGGCAGGATTCATGGAGCTGAAGAGCTAAATCATAACAAAATAATTTTCGAATAGTAATTTCTTAAAGTTAAGGTCACCAACAACAAATTCAAAATTTCAGTAGTTAAATGCCATATTTTGTCTCTCCGGCTAATTGCTACTTTTACAGATTAAGCCCACTTGAGATAGTTATATCTATTGAGTTTTATAACTCCAAGATACGGGACTAAATTATGAGAGTAATAATCAACAGATACATGCATGATGGGGGCAGCAGAGTGAGGTGAAATGGTTTTGGCATTGCTGGAACCGATATATGAGGTAGGATTTCTTTGAACATCGGTAATTATCACTGAATTCTACGACATCATCAGAATCAAAGGGGAGAAAATGGAATAGGCAAAGACTACTTCGAAAGCAAAAGCACTATCGGTGACTACCTTGAGGAAAACACACGCAGCGCTTTGATCACTAATTCAATTGCGACGGAAGATCCATCACATGTTCGATTGTGATGGGAAAGACAAAAGTAGCCTCCAGGAGCTCCTTTGATCACGCCTTCGAAGCGTCTTCAAGAGACTACCACATCATAAGCGAAGGGTCACGAGCGACGCCTTCGGTGAGCTATCACTTCGCAAGCATCCTCGATCACATGTTCCCCGCAAGAAGTTCCAAAGAAATTTCAGTCGTGAGTGGGAGCAGGCCAAAGCTTCAGTTAAGAGTGGGAGAAAGTTGAAGCTTCAATGATTAGCGTCACCTCCTCTGTTGTTTGGGAGGAATAAATATTTATTCAATTTCAATTATATAAGAAGCATTTACAGGATGAATAGTAGGGAAAGGCCACCAAATTATGAAAGCAACAAAATCTATGTGCACGAGAAAGAAAAAAAATCAGAAATTTCCAATAGTAGAAAATTCTAAAAAATAGAAAATAACCAATTGCTTTTCTAATTATATTATTTTAATTATGCATATTGCTTATAATTTATGCATCAAAATTTACATAATATATATAAATTCTACAAATAAATTATAAATGTTGCTAATTTCAATTAATTCAAAACCAATCCAAAATAATTGAACCAAATTGTGGTTTAGTTTGCTTCGGTTTAACGTTTTTTTTGGACGGTTTTGCCCAAATATTTGGACATCCAAAACCAGTTAATTTTTGCAAATTTGTCATTCAAACCAATCCAAAACAATCAAATGCGCATTCCTACTAATAGATCCTGCCTCATTTGAATCCTGTTTTTTCTGGAACCAGGCAGTCTCATCCTTTCCCTTCACACATTTTCAACGTGCCATAAGCATCAAGTTTCAAGCAATGCATCAGCATTTAGGGAGGATGTTCTTAATACAAGAAAACAGGAAGTAGAAATTCTAGGTGTTGTAAAATATATTGAGAACATTTTTCATGCAAGACTACAAGTGCACATAACAGCAGGCGACATCATTCGTCCAGAAAAATACTAAATTGCAAGCATAGCAGACAAACATTGCCCAACCAAATCAATCTTTAATAGAACAAATGCATAAGAAATAATTAAGATAAAATAAACAAACTCATAATCAAATAAACCTTGTCTACAAATAAAATTATCAATCATCAAAATTTTCATATGATTAGAAAGTAAATATTTCGTATTTGAGCATAAACATTTAACAATATCAGCCAAACATTCACCTGCTAGAATTAGAAGAGAAGTCCCTCCAAGATGACCGAACCCCAGATTCCACCAGTTCCAATTCCCTTTGAAGCTCTCGCTGCACAAGGTGCAATTGTAGTGAGGTAATGCTCACAAAATAGAACTGAAAGCAGTCCAAAAGTATGAACTCCAAATATCATAATTCTTTAATTTTCTCACTTCATTAAGCAGCAGTACTAAGTAAATCAAATATTTCACAAACAAAATCACCAGAAGGTAGACCAGGTAGGGAATCCAAATGCGTAGCATGCTTCATACCAAAGGCCTACATAGGAGAAATAAGTACAGGCTTTGATGGCATTCCCATCCATGACAAAGATAAGGGTAAGTTATAGTATGGTTTTTCTTGGCCCAATATTTGCTAATCTATGAAGCTAAATCCCCAGCTTAAAACCTTAAGTGATGACATTTCTAACCATTCACTCTTCACGTCCAGCCCTCGGATTGGCATTGATCAAATAGTGAACATTTTTTGCGGCAGTCCAACTTTTGATACCAAAAATAGATAAGTTAAAGACTGAAAGAAACAAAAGAAGCTACAAGCATCAACATCCTACACCAATGACTTAAGGCTGAGGATTCACAGATATAAAATAAGGTTAAGATGAAAAAAGAAACAAAGAAAATATCACAATTTGTGATTCCCAATTTTTGATTTAGGAAAAAATTAACTAATTTTTATGCAAACAAATAAAAAACACTTTAATCCAAATGATAATATAAAAGTCAACGCAATCTAAAATTTAACAAACCAATATAAAATTTTACAAGAATTAACATTCACACCACAAAAATGAAAATCGGTATTTAATGAACTTAAGAAGCTCTCAATCACAAGCAAAAAATAAATCCAAAATTAGTTTAGATGAAAAAACCAGAAATCACCAATTTCTTGATCTAGGCCGTATGTCGGTGCAAGACAAAAGTATCTCGTGAAGTTATTACAAAGCAACACAAATATTTAGCGAAACATAAAATATTATTGCATTCATTCATCATAAAGTGTATCTCAGGGTCCTGTTCATAACTTAGAAAGAAAACCTAAAATAAATAACTTATCAGAATCGTTAATATCAGGACAAATTTCAATCCAGCTTGGATTCCAGCAAGAGCAACTTTCCAACTCATTCTGACATAACACTAGATTTGAGCATTGCCAATGCAAATACGACATAGAAGACAACCTCCACCCAATATTCTATATAGCTGGAAATATGTGTCGTAGGATTCGACTGCTGAAAAAAAGGAAGCAACAGAATGAAGCATATTTTGTGCAGGCAAAACAATTCAAAAGTCATAACAATCTCAACACCGCCTTTATACAATAGCGCTGTCAAAATCAAATCAACGAAATCTGTTCCAATTAACAGTGTACAAATAAGGGACAAAAGAAATAGTTAAAAATCAAAGAGCTGGAAATAAGTGATGGAGAAAATCTAAGAGTTGAATAAAAAAATTAGTTGTAGTAAATCAAGCCTGATGAGGTAAAATGCATTAGTGAATACATCCCCCTCTAGAAATCATTATCAAATGTGTTACATCTGGCAAAAAACTAAAAAATTAAAAACAAAAAAAATTATGAAATGAAAAAAAAAAGAAAACTTTAAAGCATCAAAACTCAATATATTGACGTCTTCGCTTCAAATGCTCGCAGCCAATATGTCCAATATGTAGTCTTTTAAATTTCCAAAATCTCCACTACAAACCTAAGAAACTGAAGTGCTAGTTAATTTGAAATAAGGTTACCTGGCTTTGCCTTTCCCTTTCCATATCAAGCTCAAATTGAAGTTCCCTTGTCCTAGCACGCTCATGTTCCAATTGCCGTTGTCTCTCAATCTCCTGCTCCAATTCCTGTTTCCTTTCCCTGGTTGAGATGATAGGATAAAAGAATTTAAATAAAGATGAAAGCTTTTATAGTTGTTCTGGAATTTTAATAGAACATTGTTTGGCAAACCTATCAAGCTCTTCCAGAAGTTTCATTTCTTTTAAAGCTACTTCTTCCAAAAATTTTTGACGAGCATGTCTCATGACAAGTTTCTTTTGCAAACGGGCTGCAACTTCTTCTTTAAGTTTGGAACGCTCTCTAAAAATAGATGGAAGTTAAAAATAATAAAAAATGAAAAACAAGACGAGAACTTTGAAGCAAGCAGTGGAATCAAATTGTAGTAAAGCAACATAAGTATTGATTTCCAAGGAAATATAAATAAATATGGCAGCGGAGTGTGAAGATTCATGGACAAGAAGAGTACAAATAATCTTCTGCCAAAACTGTAGATTTAGATTTACTAGGACGCTCCCAACAAACTATATCACAGAACGATAGAGTATAAAAAATTTCTTACAATAACACGAGGCAGTCAGGGAAAACTACTCTGAATGGCATTCAATCTTACCACTTAACAGAAAAACCACCATGATTCAAAACAATTAGCCTACATCAAAGAGTACTTGGGGAAATTTAATTGTTTAGTTTTGGATAATTCATATGTTATAGATGCAATGAACTAAATAATGTGAGGTTGTCAGGAATCAAAGTATAATAGGAGTAACGAGGACAAATATGCATCAAGTAAAATTATAATAATGGGAGCAAAAGTGCACGTGCATAAGCAACATCACAATACATTGTTATTAATGAAACAATAACGGATAGCAAAATTAAGTAGTTGAGTGCTATGCTTACCCTATAAAACTACTTTAAAAAAATAAAAAAATAAATAGAATAAAAGAAAAAAGAACAGTGAGGAAGAAGAAACTAATATAGCAAAATTAGAAACAAACTTCCCGACAACTTAACTAAAGCATATCAATAGGTTAAACAGCTGTCCTCAAAACCCTGGACAAATAAATTAGAGCACAGACCAGGCATGAGCATGCCTGCAAGCATTCAAAAGCATCTTACATATCAACATTTCAATAGCTCATTTTTTCCATAATAATCAGACTTACAATGACTGGATGTTATCCTTTATTTGTTGAAGACGGTTATCATCCTTATCATCTGCAGAATTAACAGAAACAGTTCAAGGCTTGGTGTCAACAAAATCCGAGATGGAAGCTCAAGATATTTTACAAGTTATATAGTCCTCCTTTAAATTGCCAAGTACTTCTTGCATCGCCTTGTCTTTTTGAAGAAGATCTATTTCAATTTCAGCTTCTTCTAGCTCCTGTTTTTTTTGTCAAAACAAAAAAAATAAATTAAAAAGATAAAAGTGTCAAAATGGTCCCTTAACTCTTTGAATGGGTCATTTTTGTCCCATAGTTTATAAAAATTTCAATTTAGTACCCAGACCCTTCTAATATGAGTTTAAATAGTCCCCGGTGAGGACTATTTTGGCCCATATTAAAATATTTAGGTTACTAATTTAACATTTTTAAAAGCTCTGGACTAAATTGGCCAAAAGAAACAAATCAGGGGAATATTTTGGCACTTTACTCAATTAGAAAATAAAAGGAAAATGAAAATCATGTTCATAGAAAAGAAGACTTTAACCTGGGATTCTCGATCAGCTCTCTCAGAAAAGAAATCAAAGTATGCACGAGTAGAAGCTAAAGAGGGAAGAACCTGTGAAACATTTTTTTTAGGAGATGAAAGAAAACCAAAAAAACAAATCATTAATTTAAGTCAAGCATAAGATAATTATGAATGACACCGGAGTAAACCCAAACCACAATAGAAATGAAAATATTATTGCCAAAATTCAAATCGATTACAGAGACGACTCTTCAAACAGGAAATAAACACTACATATATAAGACAACATCCTAAGGCGAGGGTGAAGGTGATGAACTCCGGCTAGACAACATGTGTGGCGAAGTTCAAGAGGTTTAGGGTCACACTAAGAAGGCTGCTGAGAAAAAAAGGCAAAAGCAAGGACTATGCAAGGGAGACTAGCGGTAGGGAGTAAAGGAGGGTGCTGGGAGGGGTTGCGGTGGTAGGGGAGATTGCTGGGGGTAGGAAAGGGGGTTGGGAGGAGGTGCGACAGCAAAGGATGATGCTGGGAGGGGGTTGCGGCGGTAGGTGAGTTGCTGGAAGGGTGTGGCAACAAGAAGTGGTTCTAGAGCAGCTGTGGCAGCCTGGAAGGAGTTCTCAAGTAGGTTCGACAGCCAAGAGGCGGTGGGGAAGAGATGCCGCAGCCGAGAGGCAGTGAGGAAGAGGTGTGACAGTGGAGGGAGAGGAACACGACAAGGAATCTGAAATAAAAAACCACAAAAGTAAACCCTAAACAACAAGCAACAAATATATAGATAGGTGAGAGAATGGGGGGGAGGGGGGGGGGGGCTGGGGCAGTCAATTCCGACAAAAG